TTTGATATATAACCTAAAATTTAGAGTTTAAAAATTTTTAATGAATAAAGTATAGTTTTTTTTATTAAAAAAAATTTTTTTTTCCAGATTTTGACGATAATATTCGGAGAAAAAAGCGTGCTGGGAGCACAAATCCCACCTGGATATTCAAGTTTATCAACATGTAAGTAATTAAAAGTAACTAGAATAAAATTACCGTTCGCGTAACAAGTTATTAATAGCTTAGTGAGTATATAAAGATGATTAATTACCGACACTTATTATTACTAGTTTAAAGCTTTTAATGAATTTGTCTTGATGACCTTCTGTCAGACATTGCCGAGCTCCGAAGGTGAGCGCAGTCGTGCGACCTAGATTCTTCCTTTAAACTAGAGAAGATAGAGATAGAAAGTTATGTGATGTATTTCTATAATATTAAGAAAATGTTTTACATTTGTCGACATGTGTGGAAAAGAGAGGGAAAGTATACGAGTAACATCTTAAGCGCCCAAGAAAGTACTCGAGAAGCGTAACGAGCAGCAGACAAGATGGCGAAAAAAAAATGTGTGTTTATATATATTACTGAAAACAAAATGGTCAGATAAGGAGACAAAAGAAGCGCGGGAGAAAAAATAGGATACTTTCCCGGTTCGGCTTTGTTTACTCATCTCTTATTGCTCTCGAGTATTAAAGGGAAAGACTGCACGGTTTTGTTGAGTTTGTCTAGAGTGTGCCAAGGAGGATTTCACTTTGTACTCTCTAACTCTAATACAATGACTTGGTCAAACATTTGTGATAAGGAGATTTGAATATACAATGCAAATTTAACTAACTACTAACTTAAGTTTGTTTTATTCTTAAAAGTGGCGTAATTTTATTTACACGCACTGCTATTACTTATTTCTCAATTGTTGCAATTATTGCAACTTGAGAAATTTTGATCGTTTACTTTTTTACTGAAGTTAATTCTCACGTTTTTTTATTGGCGAACTTAACTTAATTTAAGGAATTTATTTTAAATTCAAATGCTCTATTTCTAGATACGTAATTGAGAAATTACCTTGTTTCTAGTGAAATATTGACAATTTTAAAGATATAAGCTCATCCTGATGTTACACTCATCGAGAGCTTTCATTTGAGTACCTACATGCATTTTTGATATATTTTTCATATATACATATATATAATATATATAAATATATAAAATATATGAAAAATTGATGTAGGTACTCAAATGAAAGGTCTTGATGAGAGTAATGTCGGGACGAGCTCATATCTTTAAAAATGTCAATAGTTCACGAGATACAAAGTCATTTCTTAACTTATGTATTGTTAAATTATACTGTACTGTCTTAAATATTGACATTGTTAAAGATATAAGCTCATTTTGATGTTATACTCATCGAGAGCTTTCATTTGAGTACATACATTAATTTTTCATATATTTATATATATTATATATATATGTATATATGAAAAATATATCAAAGATGCATGTAGGTACTCAAATGAAAGCTCTTGAGGAGTGTAACATCAGAATGAGCTTATATCTTTAAAAATGTCAATAGTTAAAAAAATACAGTGCAATTTAACAAAAATCATTATTTAATAAAGCAAAATTTTATTTATTTATAGTTCACAAATCACGGCAGTCACATAATACAAGGTTGCTAGTTTTTCTTAATTCAAGAAATTTATTTTAAATTAATAGGATTAAAAAAGTTGAATTAAAAAACTAACTTTTGATTGGAGAATTTATTTTTAAATTAAGCCAAGACATTTTTATTTAAACGTCCAGGATTTGGAAATTTAAGAAATTATTCTCTAAGCTCGAGAAGTAAATACTTGACTCAACATCAATGTTTCAGACTTGAGAATATTTATTTTTTGAGAAAGTTAAAATAATATAAAATACGCCCGAGACCGGACTCGAACCCTGATCGGACCAACCACCAAAGAAAGAGTGCTACCACTTAGCAATCACAGCGTAAGCGAACTCACGCTCAGTCTGTTGATATATTAGTAATGTGTCTTTTTTTTTTTTTGGGAATCTTGAGGCGGCGCTGCTGTCGGATTGTCTAAAGCCAACAACATCTTCGAGAGAGTTTAATTATTTTGTTTTGGAGTTAGTTAAAATTTAGCTCTTGTGTAAGAGAGATTTTATTTCTTAGTCCGAAATATTTTATGTTTAAATGGAAAAATATAAATGTTTATTGAAAAATAATTAAACTTTACGTGATACTAAAATTAGCCAAGAATTTTTGTATTTTTTCACTGAAATTGCAAGTAAAAAAATTAGAAAAAAATTGCAGGGATAATTTTTCAAATTTACATTGTGAAATTTTTTTTTTTTTTAATTGTTTTGTTATAATTTTTTTAATTTGATTTGCAAAAATCAAAGATTAATGGACCTTAGTATCGAACCTTTTGCAACAAAATCCAATCAAAGTTTCCCATAGAAGAATGGTCGAATCCTTTGTTCGCCATGAATGCTCTTTCGTCCGTAATTTGTGATTCAAATGACTTAAATTAAAAAAACCATTACAGTCGTCCCATAAAACGTAATTTTGTTGAAAAGCAGTAACCTTGAATTAAAACCAATGGAAGTAAAAGGGTGAAAAGATAATGCCTGAAAACAAAGGCTTGAAAGGGAGTGGAGATCAGCGAAGTGTAGCAGCGTCTCAAGGCCTATAAAAATTAAAATAAACACTGTTTTATAACAAAATTATCGTTATTACCTACTTTTACTATAAAATGTCTGCACTTACCTGGGATTTAGAGAGATAATAACTGTTATTAGATAGGATTGCTCTAATCTGGCGTACGACGCTGACACTCATATCTCAATTCTCAATTCTAGGCCTCAAAAGATTGAGAATTAAATGAAAGATAATTAAGCGATAGATAAACCGTTAGAAAAATAATGTTTGTAATAAAAACCGAGCAAACAACATCATGTTCGTGTTATGGTATGTTGCCAAGAACAGTTATAGATCGGAGAATGATTGACCAATTGTTATCCTAGAGACTACATAACACAGCCAAGGATAAAGAGAATAACGGAATGCAGAACGGTTTGTCGGAATAGGTTCTTCTTGTCCAGGATATCTTAGAGACGATTGACCAGAGATAAAATCCGCAATGAAAATTGCAGGGAAATGGGCCTATTGGTCACGTCCAACCATGTCCTGCGGATGCATGTTTATGGGAACTATCAGTTATTTATTGCTGTTTTGTTTTATTATTCACCGCTCGTCAGCACGTACTAGAATCAATGGATTCTCAAAGTGCTATCAGCATACTACGTACAACATAACATTATCCAATCTCTAGCACGTGCTTACTCTTTCCATTCACTAGCTACTAAAAATACGGTTCTACTTTCCGGTTTTGTTTTTTATTAGTAAATTATGTCAATTGGATTAAAATTTATGGGTAAATTTTTTTTCTAAGCTGAATTTATGTCAAAAGAAGAAAAAAATTATATTAATCTGGCAAAAAATCATTTTTAAGGAGATCCAAGTACCTTAGTGTAAAGAATGTCTAAAAAAAAATAATACGTAAAAATACTTTTTTTAATGAATTAATACTACTTAATTGTATAATCCTGCAAAATATAATCGTTTAAATCCGTACGGGTTAATTATAATCGATGGAAAATTCTTAAAACTGGTGAGAGAGAAATCAGCTGTTGGAACTGAAGCCGCCATTGAAGATATTAAACCGCGGGATATTCAAAACTTTTGAATTTTGCCGGGAATTTCAAACTTTAAGGAGATCTAAGTACCCTGCTAGTGTAAAGAATGTCTAAAAAAATAATACGTAGAAATACTTTTTTCTTAATATTAATTTTTAAATTAATTAATAACATTTGTTGAGGAAATTTCCGATAAATTTACTCATTGAATAATTATTAATATTTTATTGAATAATAAAAAATATAGCACTCTGAATTACCGGAATACACTTGACAACACAAAAAGAGTGTCCCTAACCTTCAAATTTATTTATGTTTACTGTCTAACTAAAATGACTAAGATCATTTCAAGCATTTAAAAAACCGCAGTTACTTATGCGCATGAGTAACTGCGCAAGCGGTGTTGCCAAGTCAAATATAAGACTTTAAAGAACGCAAGTGTCCGAGTGATTTTTCATAAAAAATCTAAAATATCTCCGTAATACCTTCGGAAAGCTACTTTTTTATTGTTTTAATCGAAAGCTTATTATTTTTTCAATCAAATTCAATGAAAATAAAACTTTTTTTAAAACGTTAATTGCATTAAATTCTTAACCAAATACCGGCTGGTGGAATCTCTATTTCATGTAAAAATTACAATTTTACCTAATTATTTGATTAAATCCCAGAAACTTACTGTTTTTTCATTTTTTTATTAATTATTCATTGAATTTACAAGTTTCAAAAATTTGGTTACTTCACGTGGATCTCCTTAAATTTGCAACAGGTTATTGGTACCTAGGCCGCCTAAAAAAAATTTTTTAATTATTGTTTTTGGGCTCTAACTTAAGAAGTATCGAAGATACGAAAAAAACACTAGATACAAATTAAATTTCCTACAAAAAAGGTTTCTTATAATTTTTTATCTCTAATATTTAACCCAAAAAAATCATTTCTAAAATTAAAACACAATTTTTGAGTCCATAAATTTTATTATTGACATTTTTTATGAATCCTCTTCGCAAATTCCAAGATTAAAGATAAAAAAGCAGTTAGTCAAATAAAAAACCTCATACATTAGCAAAGCGATTTTAGGCGCTGATGTAATCTCCGAAGAGTTCGTTGAACTTATATGGATGGCGTTAGCGTCACATTCTTTATATCTTAGCAAGTACTATTCCTCTATATAACTAACAGCTGGTTTCTTGTAATAGCGTTACAACCATCTATATGGCCAAACTAGTCACGTTGGTTGCCCGTTTTAAGTGTCCCTCCACCAAACATTATTCTTACAGTATAGTATATATATATTATAAATGCAAAGCTTACCAGGAAGCCGGTAGTTATGATTATAAACCCACAGGAACGCAATGTCAAGCTAGATACCCTTGCGGTATTTCGCGTAGCACTAATTGCCCGAAGGTTATCATCCAACGGTGGGTTTAAATCCAAACCGTTATCTTCTACATCCATACCTCTAAAAGTATATCCTTACCTGCAACAATAACAATTTTAATATTTTCACAAACATATCCTCAGTCAAGTTCACAACTTTCTCATAATTGTTCATCGGCAATGACAATATTTAACGACTCTTTGTTCTTAGTACTAATCACCAAATTTACCTTCGCGTGGGAAGATTCATGTGAAGTTCATTCTTCATTTCTAATTATATTTTCTTGATTTCAGCGACTGTTGCAGTAGCAAGTACTGTCAGGATCGAATGTGCCAGCGAGTCGATAATCGTCCACATTTCCACGGAAGGGAACACTGATTTTCATGGATTGGTCTATCCTAGAGGATTATCCAAGAATAGCTCCTGTTTGCAGGAATACAAGAGCCAACCAGCACCAATTACATATCGACTGCCTCTTAGGTCTTGCAATACCATGCCAACAGAATTGGTAAGAATTTCCAACATATGTGATGTCTTTAAGATCAGTTTAATATGGTAACCAAATTTTAAAGCCTACCTAATAGCCATACCTCATGCTATAACTTTAAGGTTGGCAATAAGTGTTAATCTATAACTTATGGTCAACCTTACTTCAACGAATTGTGCTGAAACAATTGCCGTTAAGTTCACCGAAATTTTCTATTCAAGTTTATAGATATAATTTGTTTTTAAATTTCGGCACTATCTTATTGTCAACTTGTAAGATCTTGTAGTATCATGGTTATCATGGCTATCAGGGTTTTATTTCAAGAATTAGAAATAAATCCTTGAATCAGGGTCTAGATGTCCGAATATAACGGCACAACCTGAGTACACATGGTGAATGTCAAAAGTATTAGCGTTTGTAAAATACTCACCAAAGTATATTCCGTTACGTGATGTTACGTTGGTTGCGCGTTTATCGTCCTTACATTACGTGCCAACCTCTTGTAGATCGTTTCCCTTGCCGCTCCATAACTGGACCGTTATGTGACCGTACGCTGTTAACCAACTACTGCATAAGATTGCATTGCTACTTTGTAATAACCACTTCTAATAAAATGATTCTGCTTAATGAAGATATGTAATAAGGAATATATCGCTAATTAACTGGACTGTTAATTAGTCCCATCAGAACCAATCTTCCGCTTCATCCACTTCTGGGTAGCACATCCAAGAAAGCTTCCATCGATTTAGTGCAAAATATAATAGCACAATAAATAAGTTAACACTTATTTAAAACCGGTCCTACTATAATGCAGTGTAGCAGAAATTGCTCAAGGTCAAAAGCCTTATCGCACGCGAACCAGAGCCTCGAAACAGAATAGCATCCGTGGTAGAGACAAAGAATCTGGTATAGTTTCTTCCAAGACCTTGACTATAGTATGTGAAAATTATAGAGGTTGCTTGCTGCTTGCTGCTTGTTGCTTGTTGCTTTTCTCTACTATAATTCTATGAGATACTCATCAGAGCCTTCTAACCGAAGGATATCCAAGATTACTCATCGCATCCTTTACAATCTCCAAGGACTCTAAGCTACAATCTGCTGTTAGCTATACCCACAATTATTTGTAAATAATAAACCTATTTCTTTTCACATGAGTTGTCAATCAAATCTGGGATTTAGAAGTGAAAATAAGCTTACTTTTCCGGTGTGGGTTTAATTAATCGAAATGACCGGGCATCGAACCTAGCAACAGATCCTGGAGGCTGGAGATATTCCGAGAATAGAAAATAAATAAAATAAAGAGTGGATCGTTAAGCTGAAAGCACAACAAGACCAAGAAGGCGTACGAAGAAGGCGAGCTAAAAGGAAAATAAATATCCGAGATGCCAATGACCCTTTCTTCAAGCTATTCCAAATGACCTCGCCAAGGATATCTACGCTCTAATATACTAAATTACATAGTTCATTTTTTTGATGATTCATTTAACAATAGCTCTTTATTAAATTACTCTGCTTAAATGATAGTTTATGCTATTCCTAGAACCAGATTACTAACAATCATAACTTTGTTCTAGGACGACGGAGGAATAGAGTACTTCAACACAATTGTAGTTCAACCGCATTTGAAGCTGGTTACCAATCAAGGAAGAGGCTTCCATGTTAGGTGCCGTTATCAGACGAGAGACAAAGTTGTTACGAACGACCAAACTCGCGTTGCGATGCTTCAATCCCTGCCGTTGCAGGTATGTTCTTAAATATTGCTTCCACCCATCATCACCATCATTATCACCATCATCACCATTTTCATCACTAATCACAAAAATTGATTTTAGGCTATGGCGCCAATGCCTGGGTGCACCATGAAGATATTCAGCGGAGACCCAACTCGCCATCATGTAGCAGAAAACGTTAAAATTGGAGATCCGCTTACCTTAGTCATCAGTATCGACAAGCAAGAGATGTTTGGGTTGAAAATTTCGGATTGCATGGTCCGAGATGGTCTAGGTTGGGGAGAACAACGACTTATTAATGATGAAGGGTAAGGAAAACGTGATCAAGCGTCTTGATCTTCCAATTAAATATCTCCGACAAAATATCTCCGAGAAAATATCCTTGAGACTAAATATCACATAAAATCCATGATAAAAGGGCACAATATGGTTTTTTTTGGGGTTTTATAAAGAATCTTCATTTTCAAGGTTTAACATTTTACATATAAATATAAGTAATAAGTATTCAAATTTGGTTGTTATCTAATAATAATACTATCCAAAAAGTATCGAATTATCGCAATAATATGGTCCCTAATTCCTTATTGGTTCAAAAATCTAGGCACGCAATTTAAATTCCTAGTAGCAGTTAAGTTTATTTAAGTTAACTTTTTCAATTCGGCTAATTTAATTATTTAAGATATTTTGACGGAGATATTTTGTCAGAGGATCAAGAATAATGGAACCAAAGGAAACCTATAAAAAGTGAAGTTAATACTAGAACACTTTCCTAACCTAATTAACATTTCAGATGTCCTATTGACGGCGAAATAATGGGACAATTCACGTACAGCGAGGACAAAACGGAAGCAAAGGTCAATTTTCAGGCTCATAAATTTCCTTACACTGCCAGCGTTTACTACCAATGCAACGTAAGACTGTGTACCAAACATGGCGGCGGATGCTCCGATACGGTAAGTTACCCAAATAAAACTCTAATCCTTATCCAGTTTGGAATAAGGTTAAGGTTCGCTAATTATCAAACTACTTACAGCCGCCATCTTGCAACGAGATCAGCAGAAGGAAGAGAGCTACCGGAAGATTAGACGACAAAGATGTCGCTTTGGACGGTACTCCGGCGACCATTGAAGTCTACAGCGGCCTCTATGTTAATGAAGCTTCGGACCTTGGCGGGAAATCTGAACTTACTGATGATGTCTTCCGAGAAAGAGTAATTTTGCAGTTCTTAGATAATAATAATAATTATTATTATTATTATTAATAAAAAATTTTATTGCAGACTATCGACGAAGCAGACAGCATCTGCATATCCCAGCGAAGCTTCGCGATTGGAATTGCTATCGCAGGGTTGATTCTCATGATCGCTGTAGTAGCCGCCATCTTGGTCCTACTCGCTAAGAGAAGACACAAAAACATTTCAACAACCGGCTCGTCTATTTACAGCGGGCCTTACACTAACACTGCTTACAGTCACAGCAGTTAAGGTTATAATAAGCTAATAAATTGTATATTAGCGTAAATTCTCTATAGTTAATACATTTCTTGCTCAAATGGTTACTCGTTGATAGTAAAAGACACTTTTACTATGTTTATTGTGGAAGAAATCATAGAACTGTCTCAAACTGAACTTAAACGCTTATATGTTAATTTAAGGTTAACGAAAACAAAATTAATAATTATTAAACCGAGCGTTTGGTAGTTTAAGATACTATAGAACAAATATAAAGTCATGGGTTACGGTGGCGGGTATAGTTACGTAGGTTATGTTAACTAATGATCAGAATTTTTTATTCAGACGAGAAATTATTGAGAAACAGTCGCTAAAGAGGCTTTTTTAGTGAAAACGCCCCTTTAAGAGCGGTCTTTCTCGTCTTTTCTCAAAAATACGCAACGTGCAATATTACTCTTTGTTCAATTTTTAAGATACAAGACTCAATGCATCGTGGTTATGTTTTATCTCATTTATTTTGAGGTTATACCGTGGCATTGGTTCACAGTGGCATTTTTAAGTATTTTACAAGTACTTACAAAATGAATTTAATGAGTTTAGATTTTAATGACACTCTGGACCTTTATCACTACTGACTGCGTTATTTTATTTTGTAAATAATTAATAAAACGACTAAATAAAGATATTTAATAAAAAAGATTTTGTTATTATTCTTTTATTTCAACTATGCTGATAAAAAAGGTTAGGGAGTAATATTAAATAAATATTGTTGATGGTAACAAAGTAAACAAAGGCCGAGTAATATTTAAATAAATATTTGTTCCCGCCAAACAACATTTTTTAATAGTTAATAAATATTTATTAGGAGAATTTGTCGGTAGATGGCTGGACACTAGCCAACAGTTATGTCTATAGATTAGTCAGAGCAACAGCGACACCTGTACATATATCAATGTGTGTCGCTTAGCCGCCATATTGTTTGTTTGCGACGTGTCTAATTATATTGTAGGTTAAACTCTAGAGAACATCTCAACCTTTCTACCCCCACTATTTTTCTCATTGTCCAATTTTACAAATGTTCTTTTTGTTAAACTCTGATTTTTGTGATATAAAAATTTAAAAATATAAGCCTAGCTTAAATATATCATTATTAACTATTTAAATATCCCTATTAAATATTTTAAAATGGTTTATTAAATAGTGAGAAATATTTGGTACAAAACAATGTTTAAGAAATAATTTCCTATTAAGAAATATTTATTTAATTATTTTCTAATAAATCATTTGTCAATTAATCTTTTTAAATACTAAAAATTTTTCTCAGTTATGTGAAAAAAATTGATATTTTAACTAAAACCAAAAAATCGGTAATTTATTTGATCAAAAGTGTTGAAAACTTCCAACAGGTGGCGCATGATCGCTAAATCTGCTCCTTTGTAGATAGTTAAGGTCAAATAACTAAATTTAGGTATAAAAATTTTTCCAAAGCCCTTAGCTGTCTTTTTTTAGGTTAATCAACTAATTTTCATCCATGATACAATAATTATCATTAATATTTTCTATAAATCACATAAAAATAAAAAATTTCATAAATAAACCTTAAATATAAATAAGTAGATACAAGAAAGCTCGTGAGGCGCCATCTAGTGTCAAAAAATTGAATCTTCCTATGACGTAATACTTATTTCTTCTCAAAAAAATTCAGGAGCCATTATAAATTAAACAGTAATTAATAAATAAATAGTTATATTTATTTATAATATTAAATTGTCAATAATATAAATATATTTAAATAATTATTAATGTGCAAAGCGACTAACCTGAAAAAAATTATTTGTCTTATTAAATTGGTCCAATATAACAAAATAAAAAAGAAGATACAAATAATTTTTAGTATTAGTTTAAATAATTTATTTAATTAAATGTAAATATATTTTTATCGAAAAAATTTAATATATTTAACGAGTACTTATTTTAAATATAATTACAGTAGAAACTCAATATGTCTACAAGCTAGGTTAATATTTCTGCAACAAAAAAACATCGGCAGAAAAATAATCGAGATTCTACTATAATTAATAATTAATAATAATATATTTTATGTATTTATAATTATAATAATAATAATATAATTATTAATATACTATTCTATTTAATCTAACAATAAGAAAAAAAGCATTTTTTATTAATTAGTTAACTGGATTCTATGTACAAATATTTTTACAAGTAACAACGAAGAAGAAATAAAAAATAATTATTGTTTTAAAAACTATTCTAGTTCCTGAGAAAAAAAATGTTTCTATTTTTTTTTTTTTTTTTTTTAATTATTTTTTCTAGACAGTAAATGAACGATGATATGATAGACTCTAGTGATAATAAATAAATAATTAAAATTAATATTTTTGAATTCTAAAACTACGCTAATAAAAACAAAGGTACAAAAAAATTCCGATATTAATATTATTTATTTGAAGAATAATTAATGAAATTTTTTTATTTTAATTAGCATCCCAGGAGTATTCATTCTATCGTAGACTAATGGGAATCCCCGAAAATCTAGATAGGCACACGTTAACCTTAAGTACAATCACCGTTATTAAGCAAAGCTGGATGGAATCATTCTTCTTATTTATTTTAGATATTCTTTTTTATAATAGTTTTTAATCACAGACTTTAAAACACTAAAGCTCATTAATTTTTTTTTTTTTGTAATTATAAAATTATTTTATATAATTGCAGTTCGAATTTTAGAGCCTCAATGTTTACACCAATCCGTGAGTCAGACGGAACAATTTGTCGTTTTTATGTTACCACCACTGACAACCTTTTTTTTTGGTAAATTATAAAAAGTCTATTCGGTTTGGAAAAATATAACCTAAATTTTTAAACAGTTGTAGTAGCATTTGTAGTGTCAATTTGATACAGTAATTTTAAATGTCACTGAATATTTTTTTTTTTATTGCCTAATTTACAAATTATTATTTATTTTTATTGAACTTTATTTTTTTCTTTATTTATTTGCATTTTTAAAAAAATTTTTAGTAACTAAAAGTGAAAACTGAGTATCAGCTGTTCTTAGGGCGCCATTTTGGCGCAGCGCGCCAAAATACTAATATCAAGTTAATTCAAAAATAAAAAATTAATTCAAATTTTGGGAATTATTTAAAAATAAGGTTTAACCTATTTTTCGCCATGTTTGAATTAAAAATTAACATTTTTTGATTTTAAAAAGAAAATTAATATATTAAAATTATTTTGAAATTAATTAATTAATTAATTCATTAAATTTTTAAATTATTAAAAAAAAAAAAGAACATTACAATTTTTAAAAAAATTTTTTTTATTGCTTTAAAAATGTATTAATAATTTTTTTTAATACCCAGTGACATTAAAAATAAATTTTAACATCGAATTTATTAAAAAATCTTCCTTGAAAAAATAAAAAAATGAAATTATAAAAATACTGATTTTTTAGATAAATAATTATAATTTTAAACCTTCAAAAAATTAATTTATCGTTTATATATCTGTAAAATAGCGTTTAAAATAATTTATCATTTTTATATATATATATTTATATATATATTTTTTTTTTATCGTATATATTATTTAATATATAATCTGTAATTATTTAATAGCTAATTTATATCGAGTATAATTTTAAATAAACGCTTTAGCTTATAATTAATAATTCTCGTGTTATTTTTTACACTGTAAGTGGGGATGTAAGTGCAATTCCATATTTATTTGTTTTTATTAATGGTTTATAAATTTGTTTATTATAATTAAAATCGAGAAAACATTTTTTATTAATCAAATCAACAAAAACAAAAAACAAACAAAATTATATATTATTATAAATAATTATAATAAAATAATAATAACCTAATTATTAATAAAATAAAAAGACATTTTTACATTGTTTATTTAAAACCTTACCTTACTTCTCACCCATTACTTAAATCACTTCATTGCTTGTTAATCAATACTTAACCTTACTTTCTTTCCAATAATTATAATAATACATATTATCATTATTATTATTATTATTATTATTATTATTATTATTATTATTATTATTCATACTTTGCGGTATGTTCATTGTAGTCATTATTTAAAATAATAATTATTATTCTTTGCTTTTGTACCAGAGGTGGCAATTTTGTTAATCATATTTTCATTCCTCAAGTGATTTTTAATTAACTAGTCAATTGCAGATGAATTAGCGATTTATTGTAACTTTAACGGTTCCTGAAAGAAATAATTAAAAAATTGAACTGTAAAATTTATAAAATTACTATTTTTTCTCTACTCTATTTTTAAAACCGATGTTATACCTTAAGACATATTTTCCATCGGTTTAGCTTTTTAAATATATAAATAAAACATTTTAATATATAAAAAAAAACAAATTTAGGTGTCAAAATCTTCTCTAGCTTTAAAAAGAACTCTTTTGACAGAAAAAACGCCTTTTTCAAGTATAGTAAGTATTATTTTGAAAATTTCTATAGTCAATAAAGAAATACCCGCGAAATTCAAATTATAGCTAGAGTAGACTTTTAAATTTTATTTAGAAGGTTATAAAAACCTTGTCTAGCTCTAAAAACAACTCTTTTAACTCGCAAAACGTCATTTTCAAGTATAGTAAGTGTTATTTTGAAAACTTCTATAGTCAGTAAGAAATAAATGCCCGCGAAATTCAAATTAGAGCTAGAGTAGACTTAAATTCAATTTAAAACTCCTTAAGTTACCTTGCATATCTTTGGGCGGGTTTGGAGGCATAGAAGAAACTTGATAGACATTGGACCTGACGTTTGATGGCAAAGTGGTGACCTTGGACCTAAACAAACCTTAAATTAGCACAAAACTTAGAATCAAAAGGAAGTAATTCGTACCTTTGTTTGCGAATTTTTTGGTTCCGTCCATCAAAAGAGTTGGGCGTAGGACATCCAGAGTTAGAAGAGTAAGATGGTGGTCTGAAAGGACGAGGGCAGCCTTGAACGACTGATGGAGATGGTCCAGGAGCGTACTGGAGCCGGGGATTGTTCGCCATGCCTGGATGCATCAGTCTAATGTCCCCTGTACCAAAAAAAGATTTAGAATTCTATCTTTATACCCTTAATCATCAAATTAATTTACCTGGCACAATATGAAGACCCTGGTACATTGGCAGTGGGTAACGCGATTGTGCTTGTGCGTTTCTGTTGTCAATGCCAGCCACGCCATTAACAGTGGGTCCATTTGGTGAGTTGATAGGATACTCGTGACCTGGCGTGGGCGACCTGCTGGTCCGTTGAGACCCAGAAGGCGTTGATGCACGGATTCCACTGGTCATCATGGGTACATTCTGTCGGAACACGAGGTTTGGCAGATTGGGCAGAAGAGAAGGCGTCATGTAGACGGCTCCAGGCGGAGCAGGAGCCGTTCCCGACAACTGATGACCATAAGAACCAGCAGTGACCATCGTTGGGGGAGGATAGGTGCCTGAGTTGACGTACATCACCGGAATACCTGGCATTTGGTTGGACGTGGGGGTGGTTGGTGGTGTGGGGACTCGCCACATCATCGGCGGCTGCATTCCAGGTTGTCCTGAGTAGTAAGTCGGCATCATGGACAGAGGATTCTGGTAGGAGTAGTCAGTGGGTGAAGGAGTGACAGCCGGCATCGAATTGTAGGAGATTGGGTAGCCGTTGACTGGATAATTGGGTCCCGTGTTGGGTGGGGTCATCGTTTGGGGGTTATACGTGTAATTAGAAGGGAATCTTTGGTGCTGGATCGTAGAGCGGTCGTTAGAGGTCAAGGTGGACCCTGACGGAGGGACGAAGTACATTTGCTGGGGGGCTATCTGGTTGGGCGGATGAGAATGCTGTTGAGGATGCTGTCCTTGGTTAGGCGGCTGCCAATAAGCTTGGTTGTTCGGAGCATTGTGTCCGTTGGGTGGCGGAAGGGGTGGAGGAGGCGGCGGTGGAGGTGCTGGGAACGTCGGGGTGGTTTGCGACGCTTCTGACCCGGCTCGTGACTGCTCATAGACGTTCATACCCATGAAATAGCCGGAAAGATCGGTTACTTCTGATTGGGGATGAACGGCGGTTTGCATCATCATTGGGTAATTTCCGTAGACATTGTTCTGCCCGAAGACCATGTCAGGGGGCGGTGGTGGCGGTGGAGGAGGCGGTTGCTGCTGCTGTTGCTGATTTATTGCCAAGTCCGGTGGTCGTTGGATGATATTCTGGGGTTGAGCATTTGTAAATACTGGGGGATTGTAATTTAATTCGGTATTCTGAGAGTAGTTTTGGTATTGCGGATTCAATGATCCGGGAGTGCAGGGTGGCGGGGATTTAATTGGCTGGTTATATGGTAAGTCTTGAACTTGAATGGGTTGGGGCACCGCTGGCGGAGGACTAGCTGAGTATGGTAGAGTTGGGGACGTAGCTGTACTAGTTACACGGTTACTAACAGCGTTGTTGTTGCTAACCGATGATGGTGGTGATGATTTAATAGAGTTTTTATGCTTCTTAGAACTATACTTATTAACTGGCACATTGTGTCTAGGAGACTCAGGTAATTCAGGAAATTTATCTGGCGTCTCTGACGACGGGCTTTCACGAATCTCTTCAATATCGCTGAATACCTTCGGAGGATTGTCGGGATCAAAGCGATAAAGCGTACCATCTGAATTGGTGTACGGTTGATTGGTGCGTGGATTCATAATTACGCTACCCAGTGGTACGCTAGAGATATTAGTGACCGCCCAAATGACTGTTTCATTGGATTGGGTGTCTATTGAGGCATTGTTATTGTTTTGACTAGATTGTACATGACTGCAAGAATTCGCGGGAATTGGCGAGGGTGATGGTGATGGTGATATCGTGGTATCACTCCGTTGGCTTTGTGATTTGTATCCGCTGCTAGAAGGGCTCAATCTTGAGCACATACTAGCACCAGAATCTTGTTTAGTTAGTCTAGCGCCCGCGCTACGAGTTGAAGTGACACTATCACCACGTGATAGCATTCCACGAGTATACCCACCAAAACTGAACGACTTAGACACTGAAGGACGTAAAACACCGCGAAATGCTTCACGTCCGTCGCAAGATTCACCCTTGGACAAACGAGCGTGGCGCCCAGAATGGTCACCAGGATGAAGCAATCGATAACGTGCCGACGCATCGGAACTTTCCGAAGACGACCAGTATGGCCAGGAGACAACTTCATTGCTTTCACCGCTGCTGTCCTTGAAAATCCGACGGCGAACTTTTTCGTATTCCTCCTCCCGTTCTTCGAAACTCTTGCTGCGTCGGCAGTAGTCACCCGAAAGCCTGTCAGGCGACTTGAAATTATAGCCGTCTTCAAACGAACTAGAGTCACGTTTAAGTATACTGCGACGTGGCTCTTCGGTCAATATCAAATCGTCCCTAATGTGTTCTTTGAACCTTGTGTCGGGTATTCTCATGTTCTTGGTACGTGTTACGATTACACTAAGACCCGATTGGTCAACATTGTGTTCCATCCCGAAATATGCGGCGACACGGTGGACCAGCATCCGATTGTACGACGACATATTGGGAAATTTATGGCAAACTTTATGGTGGTCTTTAGCAAATTCTATCAATTCACGCTCTATTTTCAACAAAACCGAGCGGTCCTTTTGATTACGGTTTATCGTCACGGCAATAAACTGCTCGAGATCAATACCAGTGCTATCAGTATAGAGTTCTGTGCTGTTATCACGTGATAAGCACGGCGATACACTGTCTAAACTACCGCTTCCTTGTGAGGATGAATTTTGATGCCGCAATTTGTGTCTTGTGCGACTACCAACAGTCAATGTATTGCTAGAGCATTGATTTGAGCACTGATTATTACAAACACTAAGAGAACGCCGATTATCATTACGAGATTGCTGGCAATTATTATTACTGTAATTATTTGTATGTCCGTGATTTTTTGGTGAATACTGTACGCCAGTTGATTTCGAAGGCGATGGTGGTGTTTGTAATAATCCAGGTTTATCATTATTGTGATTGTTTTTAACGCAATTATTGCACTTTGATGATGACGTAACAACTAGAGGGCTGGTAGCTTTAGATCGTTGACCATTGTCATTTTTATTATCACGATTATTCGTTGGTGATGTACTAGCACTCTTTGGTGTCTGTAATGGACTAGATTGACCATTTCTCGATGGAGTACGGCAAGTTGGTGAAGTTGCGGTATTTCGCGTTTGTTTTGGCGATTGGGCGGCACTCAAATTGTTACTATTGTTATAAATAGACTCGTTGTTTAATTTTGAATTTGAATTATTGGGTGAGAGACCACCGTTGCTCGCGTTCCCCAGTTTCTTTTCAATTGCATCAGATTGTTGGGGGCTACGTGGCGACGCAGCCCCATTGTGGGGTTCACGTGGTGGCGAAGTTGATTCCCTCATTGCATGGCTTCTCACTAGTAATTTCACCTTGGTGTTTGCCTGCAATGTCGAAAAAAAAAAAAAAGAAAAACAATCAATTAGCGCAACAATCTTATTTTAATTAAGGTGTTGATAAGCTAATGAGGAGTGATAAAGGATTCTAACCCTATTGCGGTAATTGTTGGACTCCGAATCAATTTTGTCGGGTGGACTAGGCTGACAAGACGGCACAGGAAGTGATGTAGGACGTGTAACAGTATTCCCAGATGATAAATTTTCAATAGTAACATTGACATCACTGTCTATCATTTCCTGATCCCCCAAGGTTGAATAAGCTGTACCACCAGACACTAGTACATTCTTGCCAGTGGGAAGAGCCGGCATCCCAGCCGAGGATGCACCGATGGGACTTACGGGCCGGCTCTGTGAACTGTTTCCTTTGTGCACCACTATACTTGGTACTGAAACAGTAATTATCTTTGCTACTAAATCTACTTATTTCAATTCGTGAAACTATAACCGAATCTGCTGGTTGAAGCTTTGCCATTAGAACACGTCCTAACGTCTAATGGTTTGAATTGGGTGTAATAGATGCCAAAATGTGATAAAAGCTTTCAAACAAAAATGTTAGCGAAAGTAACAAAAAAAAAAAAAAAAAACACACAATTTACCATAACTCCATAGGAAATATATTTAAATCCAGATTTATCCTAAAAGGAAAAAATGTTTTCAGATTATAGAGGACTAGAAGCTAATTAAAAAAAAAAAAATTTGCCAGTTAACTGATGCATAATCACGGAAAAAATATTGGAGTCCCGAGAAAAAATATTTATATGTAAATTGGTTATATATGATTCCATATATAATCATATATGATTAATAATCATAATTTATCTTTGGTAGTTACTTAAAAAAAATAATGTCAAGTTTTGTAAGAATGCAAGTTTAGATACTTAAAATGAATAAATTTGAATTTTTTGAAAAAAGTCGGTCAATTTTGGGCAAAATATTATTGAAACATGATAAAAAATATTTATTTGGTGAGTATTGATACAGTTTTATAGGTTTTTTTATTAAAAAGTTATTTTTGAAAAAAAAGTTTTTTTTCGGAAACTATATAACTAACCAATTCTGCACATTTTTTAATTTATCTTTGGTAATTAGGCTAATTTCGCCAACTTCCGTGCCCTAATGATTATATACAATTATATAGAAAAATTTTTTCTCCGGGTACTACGTCTACGGGTATTTGGACTTACTTTCCAGCCGTGCCATGGGTTAATCTAAGTAAGGCTGTAAAGGGAATCCCGTAGTCTCTCAATTGAAGCTAGTACGGGATAGGTTAGTACAATGGTCTTTGTAAAAGAGCACAAGCCCTTATTTCTCTCCCTTTGTTCCCAATTTCCAACATTGTTCGTCTGTAATCCAACAATAACAGTCTATTGTCACAACTAATCGTTTAGTTTTATAATCAGTGCATTAGGAATTATCAACTAACATTACCCAAATTGGCAATTCAAAATTCCTAAGCAACTAATTGAATATTTTAGATAGAACAATCAAAAAATATTATTTACGTCACAGAATCAATTTGATTTGATGAATTATCCATAAGTGTGGTTGGTCAGTGTGTTATGAAGATAAGTGATCGATCGAAGTAGAGATGGATATTTCACAAGTATAACTGTAAAAACAATATCACAATATATTCATATTATCGAATTGCAAAAAAATCACCGCATGTTTCTTGAGTATATCACTTGGTGAATATCTTTAACGGATAAAAATTCTATAAATAAACATGAGGTGATAAAAAAAAATTGTCTGAGGTTATGTCCTCATATTTAGTGATAAAAGCAATCCCATGGTATCACTACCGGACCGAGCAAGACGTTAAAAAGACAGCGTCTGTTGGCGAACTACCCGAATCTAACAACGGTGGTGATCGTCCACTGGCAGAAGGTGAATGTAGGTAAAACTTGGATAGTATATACCCAATTATATTGTGGTAGTACTCCTACACGCATACATAATATATATGTGGTGCAGTTGCTGAGGTGGTTGATAGTAGTAGTCTAGAGCACGCTTGCGCATATCACCTAAACCAACTCTTGTTGGGAGGAGAACGTCCAACGGGTGTTCGAGAAAATAGCGGTGTGATCAATGATGACAGCTAACAGATTCCTTTTTTTTTTATCTCTAATCATTCTTTAGCTTTAGCATCATAATCACTGACCTAAAGCCGGTCCATTAATTAACTTGAAAAAAAAACCTGCTGCATTTTACCTATAATAGGGTTTTCTAAAATCTTGGATTTGGTTTACCGAATTGGCAACCAAATGCTATTTTGTAACAGTCATCGATACAACACTTAAATATTTATGAAATACCTTCCAGGAATTGGCTGTAATTTTCTCCTGGGGTCAGACACGCGTCAGATAATTGATTTTTGCATTAGAGCTTACTGATGATTTATCACAATAATAATTGTTATTGTTATCTTAATTAATTTGATGATGGGGCTAGGCGAGCGGGTTAGTTTGACCTGATGAAAATGGTGTCTATGACCTATATAACTTTGTTCAGTGTAACTAGGTCATGCACCTCCCTATCCCTGGAATAATACAGGGTGACCCAATGTTTGTTGCGCACGTTTTAATCTTATTGATCCGATAGCATTCAACCTATCTCTGTCCGATAATTTTGAATATTGTTAATAGACTTTTTTTTTTTTCATCAAATTGGGCGCCAATTCTTCTAAATTTCTTCTATTTAAAAAACCAGTAGTCTTCTTTTGCAACAAACGGACAAATTTTCTTGTAATCAATGGGTGAGTCAGGATTCAAGGTTTTGCGTGACTCAACCAGTAAACCGGCAATGCAGTAAATCTTACGGCGGAAGAATGTTGTGTTATCAAATAAGAATCGAGTGATGTAAATAAATTTACAATAAAATTATTTTTATAGTTTTTTGTAAGTATTTCATTGATTTTCGTATTGATAAATTTAAATTCAACTTTCTGTTGTACCTTTTTCAGGATAATGTATATTGCAGTCATATTTTACAGACAACTTTTACATTTTTATACAAAACTTTACAATTCTTCACAAAACTCTCAGCACTGCAGATCTCTATCTCTGTTTTTAAAGATTTCTAGCACAAAAGAACAATTGCTATTTTCAATATTTGCAACTGTGATAAATTTAAAAGCTTCATAAGTTTTCTTTTCAAAGGATAGTTTTATTTCATTAATCAGCAATTGTGATAATGAACGCGTGTCCTGAAAGGTCCTATGCAGCTTACCAGGTCTGATGCACCCAGTTACCATGGAAACGACCTACTCTCCCTGACACAGCCTGAAGAATATTCAACTTCAGACAGGACGTTTGTCTTCTTAATTTTATCTGCTGTTTAATTTAATCATCACAGCGAGATAATATCACCGTTTTTAACTTCCCGCTAAGAAATTCGAAGATTTTCAAAAATCGGAAAGTTATTGTTTTTACCCCGATTTAATCACGGTTGGTACCATTCGAAAGGGCTCGACTGAACTTCGATTTTGAATGTACTTTGGAACGATTCGGACCGGTAGATTTTGAGAAATCTCAAAAAAACTAAAAAAAAAATTTTTTTTGAATAGAATTTTTTTCGGTATGACTTTTAAACGGCTTTGCCGATCAATTCCAAAAACTAATCAGCTTTTTACATCAAAAAACCACGTCGATCGCCGCCGGTCCGGTCAAAATCGGCTAATTCGTTCGTGAGTTATCGTTGACGACAGAAAACCAAAAAAAGTGTTTTTTTGGAATTACTCCGAAATTTTTTCAATACAAACTCGAAAATTCTTTATAAAGCTTAAAAAACTGCGGCGAATATCACCAACCTCGTAAAAATCGGTTTATTCATTCAAAAGTTATTGCAATTTGAAAATTCATAAAATAGTGTTTTATCAAACTTTTGAGCTCGGAGAGCTCAAAATAATACACAATTTATATTTATGAGCTCAAAAACGTCATTAATGTAATTTCAAATGTTTAGGTATAGGAATTGGCGGGAAACTAATTTTTTTATAGTGTTCAATTTGCCAAAACTAATTTTTTACAAAAATTATTTTGACAATGCAAATTATTAAAAAATCAGTTAAGCTTCAAATAAACGATGAATTATTATTAAATTTATTTAAATTCCGCGCTTTATTTAGATAACCTTCATAGATTATTTAGATTAATTTGGCGAATTTCCGACAAGCTTTTAGTTTAGTTGTCGCACCAAAAATTACATTTTTTTTTCCAACGTAAGTTTTTATAATTTAGCCACTGGATATTTTTAGCCAATATATTTTTTAGCTGCCGACATTTTGTCTAAAACTTTATTTTTAAAATTGATATATTTCCAGCAGAATTAAAAACTACTAATATAACATAACAAATTTAAAAGGTCTTAACTAAAAATTTTCCTTGGCCCTATCCGTAACTACAACTTCTTCCGGAAGTAAAAGAAGCTGTTAAATAATCCAACGGTATCTATCGACAAATGCGTATGAAAAATGAATCTGCAAAGTTTCTGCGAAAATTGGCAGAACTCCAGACCTACGTCAAGACTGAATTCTGACGCCAGCATCAATGAAAGAACGGTCTAAGCCGTAATATAAGTCTCGAGGAGTAGTTTCGCATTTTAAAATCTACAAAACATTCTTCCTCTTCTCTTACATCCTAATGGTCTAAAATTAGACTAAAGATAGAGACAGTTCATCAGAGAACCAGTGTACCAGGCTAAATTTTATATTGAAAGTCAAAAGTGTCAAACACGTACATTGGCCTAGCATTTAAAGGTCACGACAATTTTCCTGACGAATTATTATCATCATAACATATTCATGTTGATATAGACAGTCGATAGCACAACGAACAATGAACACACCGAAGATGACTCACTGTTGATATCCAGAGGGTAAAGACAGGTGTACACGTGCCCTAGCCTTAGTCTAGCTCGGGGTCACGTTTGATGCAAATTCCCTGCTTTAATTTCAGTTTCTGATCCGTCGACGAATTTTGGAGTCTTTTTATCGGGATAATATTTGCTTCTAACAAGCTTGATGAGAGTAAACAGAGCTATGACTCACTGATTAAATATTTACTTTATCCAACCATATCTGGGTTGATATTTTGCTATCCAAACACTCAAAACGGATAGCAGCTTTGGACTATAGATCAATCCGTGAAGTTTTGAGATATGGTCTCTCTTTAGTTATTTTAGCCAGTTTTTTACCGAATTATTACAAAAAAATTACACCATATTTTCTGTATAATTATTTATTCATCAAATTTAAAAAATTCTAAAATTTTTCCGCAGTAAAAATTCTGCATAACTATAGTGAAAAAAACTGGCCAATATAACCACAGAAATATTGTATTATTTCAGAATTATAACAGTAAATTTATGGTAAGCGCATTAATACCAAAAATTTGTGGTCAGAAAACATATTAGAATCCGTCCTGATTAAAATTGATCATTTTGGAGCTCTTTTTGATGGATCATATCATTTGATCCAAAAAAGTAAGTCGTAGAAGACTTGAAAAAGATTGCTAATTAAAACAAGCAACAAAATGACTAAAGCTTGATAGTAAATATCGACAAAACTAGTAAACAACCTTCACCTTGTCCGAAGTCACCTGACCTTATCGAATAAGGGGATTCCCTTGAAAAGGCATTTATCCAACATGGTAGCACAAATACAATTACCAAGGGTTGTACTGCTAGGTTCTACATCTACTATTGTAGATGTTAGCTACAATAGCTAGATCGGGTGTATGACGTGACTACATCAAACGATCTGAGTTGCGTGCCAGCTCGGTATAATTCACTCTCAGATACCGTTTAATCCTAATTGATTGGCGTAAAAGATTACTTTTATACTTTTTATAACCATCAGATTTGTTTTGTTTATAGAAGTCTTCAGTTGGTGCATGCCTCATTACATGCCGTAAAATCCAAGTTCAATCAATTTTAACCTTGGCGACCTTCATCCTTCATTAATGCAATCCAAGAGGCTTTTTTACTAAGAAGCTTAATTAGTTGAGCGTATACTTTAAGAGAAATGCTTAATGACAGACCAGAACGTGTTCTAGGGCCGCTAATTTACAGACTAATCGTTCTCTCTTCTTACTTCATTCCGACTCTATATAATATAGGTCCATTGTTTACGTTCCAACGCGTTTAGCTTTCAGAAGTAGCTAATTTGTTTTTTTTTTTTTTTTTTTTGATGGTGCTCAATTAGTCTTTAGAGCTTTTTTCTCTATAAAAAATTCAACGCAGAATTTGGATCAAAATAAAAATTTTTGAACCAAAATTAAAAGAAACTTTTTTTTTTAAGCAAAAATTTTATCTAAGCTTTAGAATTTTTTCTTTCTTTTGAGTCAAGCTAACCTTTTTATCTCTGTTAATTTGAGTCCAAATTTTTCATAATAATGCATAATAATTTTCTAAGTAAATATGGGTCATATTTTTCCGATAAGGTTTTTTAAAAGATGAATTATAAAATTCCAAATTAAAAAAATGGAAGATTTTAACGAAAATTGAAGCAGAAAATTTTTATCAAAATTTGAAGCAGAATTGTTATCAATAATTGAAGCAGAAAATTTTTATAAAAAATTGAAGCAGAAAATTTTTTAACAAAAATAGTTATTTCTTAATAAAATTCCATTGAAATTTCAAAATTTGAAGACTTTACCCTTGAAATCTTCAAAGTAAAATATTTTATCATAATTAATTGAAGTATAAAATGAATTCCGTCATAAAAGAACGGATTCTTAGACATTTAAATATGAAAAAAAAAAAATATCCATCAAAAGACGAACTTCCTTTACATTTTCCACGCACAAAAAATAAAATCTTTAATTTGATAATTACTTTTAGAGAGTTTGAAACTCTATTCAAACTTTTTGGCTTCTGGTATAATTACTCCCCCGGAACTTTTACCGAAATTTTTTAATCCAAGATTTCAATCTCTAAATAACAGTTTAAAAGCTTGAAAACGTTATTTTAATAAAATATCAAGATAATTCTTGGACAAATTTTGATAATTTTTCCGTTTTTCATATTCCTTAATAAAAAAGAAGAACAATTTAAGTACTACAAATTTTTTAGGCTCAAAAATTTTTCTCTTAATTTTATCATCAATATATATATATATATATATATATATATATATATAAATATTACAAGAATAAATAAATAATAAAATTATTTATTGGTATTTATTGACTACAAGAACTCTTATTAATTAATATTAATATTAATTTCTTAATAATAATTATTATTAAATGATCCAAAAATAAAAATTAATAATAAATTCTCAGTAATTTTTCCCAAAATTTTCTTCTTGGGATTAACTTATTCCGATTGAAGATAAAAAAGGATTGAAGCTTAACCGTGAAACAAATAAAAACTGAGATTGATAATTTCAAGAGCTGGAAGTAATGCTTCGGATATTGGGGTTGAAAAAAAAAGGGTGAATAAAAGTAGGCCAGTAGTACGGAGGAACAATCAATAGAGGTCGGTTGCCTAGAGGGGATGCCGTTGCGTTTTTTTCTTTGTTCGTTTTATTAATTTATTCCAATTATCCTAATCCTTAAAAAAAAAATATCTCCTTCTCAAAAACATCTACAAATTAATCCCTGATTAATCCGAATTCATTACCTAACTATTTATTAATAATTTTGTTAACCAAAAAAAAAAATTTAAGTTAAGAAGACAAGTGATCTTAATGAACATTTTATCACTTAGTCCTTAATCTTAATTAGGTGCAATTAGCAATTGTTTTTATTTAAAACTAAGCGGATTAATTACAAAATTAATTACTTGTTTTTCTTTTAAATTAATTAATTTTTTTAAGGTTAGCTTGCACTTTTTATTTATTTAAAAAATTAAAAGCCATGTACAAACAATGGATGTTAACAATAAGTGCTTTGAGTCATGAATATAGTTACAACAAAGCTTACATTTGTAACTAAACAATAGAACACTACCGAACAATTGCAGGGAAGAAATTGTACAAAGAGTTTAAAAGAAAATGGAGAAAAAAATCGAAACAAAGCGAATTGTTTGTTACAAATTAATTTTTTTGTAGCTTACCTAGTAGATCGATGGCAATTGATACAAAACTGTTAAAACACTTGACATTCTCACTTTTTAAAATATTTTTTTTATTATTTATATTTTATATATTAAGATTAGTATTATTATTATTGTAAATAACGTATTTTACTTGAGACTATAGACTGTATACTAAATTTATTATTCCGTAACTCAGTTAAACTTTTTTATTGCTTTCTATATTCACTATCGCTCCCAGATTATACATATATAACAGCGCTATAGGGTGATCTTTGTTAGCATGGAATATATCACGCACTAAGTACACTTAATGGAGGACTGGCGCCCTCTGGTGCGCAGAGAAGGTAAGAGGATTTTATACCAACGATAGTTCCTGAAATTTCTCTATTAAAAATTAAAATGGTTTCTAGCAGCTGGTTAGTTGGAATTTTGGCGCGAGATTTAAATTTGTAATTTAAATTGATAATTTAGAAAAATTTTTTTTGTATTTTTGGCGCGCTTTTAAGGATTTTATTTAAATTTTTGAGATGAAGAAATATATTCAGTGATTTTATTGTTACCTAGTTGTTTTTTTTTTTTTTGGATAAAAAAATAAAAATTAATAGTTTGAAACATTTTTATTGATTTTTTCTTGGTAATTTTTGTAGAAATGAAAAAAATTTAATAAAAATCATTGAAATAAAAAATTTCTCATGAAATTTACTAAAAAAATTATAAAATAATAAAGATTAAAAAAAAAAATTTTTGTCTTAATTTATATAATTAAAAATGTATTAAATTACAAATTTATCAAATTTAATAAAAAATCATTTTTATAATAAAAGAAAATTTTTTTTTGTATTAATTAGTATAATTATTAAATTTACAAGATTAAAAAATGATCAAATTTTTTTAAAAATATAATTTTTATAATACTAGTCAACAATTTAGCATAAAAAAAATTATTTTTTGTATTTATTTGTATAATTATAAAATTTAAAAAATTAAAAAATGATCAAATTGATAAAAAAGTAATTACTTTAAGTAACTCAATAAATTTTCTTTGTGAAAAAAATTTAAAAAGGAAATTTTTATAAAGTTTTTAATAATAAAATTAAAAACTTTTTAAATTAAAATAAATAAAGAAACAAAATTCTCTATAAAAAGTACTAGAATATATATAAATAATTTGAAATTTAAAGTGTCGATAAAAAAAATTTTTAAATTTCCCGCGATTGATAAGTTCTATTTTTTGCCACAAGCTTGTACTTCAGAGCAACAGTTGGCGCTTCAGTTGCTGCACACATTTGTTTACAAACTACACACAAATTTTTTACAAACTAAATAAAGAACTATAAATTATTTTTCTACACTATAAAAATCAATGAAGTGAATAATTAAAATTGTTTTTATCTCAACATGTTATAAAAAATAAAAAAAAAACATATTTGTTCTTGTTAAATTAATCATGGCCGAGTTTGACAGAGACTTTGACTTCGACGAGGTATTTACTAAATTTTATTATTTAATTTTTTATTAATATATTATTACATATTAAATAATAAAGATAAATATGAAAAATATAATTATCGCCGGATTTAATCCGAGAATAAAATAATAAAATGAAAAGATTAAAATGAAGGTTAAGGCCGCGCGCGAGTTTATCCAAATTCTGTTTACTTAATATTTAATGTTTTTATGATTGTCCTGAGACGACAATCGAATTTTTAGTGTTGTTTTTTTTTGGAATTCGTGATTTTTTATTATCTTCATTTTAATACGTCAAGGTTCCGGAATTTATAAACTCAACTGATAGTTTTTAACGTAAATTTGTTTATTTTTGTTTGGATTTGTCAATGTAAAAAATTAATAAAGCAAATATTATTTATTAAAATTCATGAAAATCAAGTTAACCGACATTTTAAAACTTTTAGAAATTTTTTATTGAAAAAATTTCAATTGAACAACTTAAAAAAAAAATGTCACACCTAAAAAACTTTAAAAACTAGAAGTGCAATTTTTTAGAAATATATCTTTTTAGGGTAAATGCACCAGTTGTTGACCGGTCACCAATTAGTTGACCGATGTATAAAAAAGTTAATTAATTAATATTTTACAAGGGTTTTTTTTTTTCTTAAAGGATTAAAATAAAAAAATATGGCATTTAATCATCATAATAAAAAATTACGCAATTAATTGCGCAGTGATTATAGCTTTAAAAAAATATTCAGAGTTTGTTTACAACGCAACCAGCCATAAAGCGGTCAAAAATAACTAGCGTACAATTATTGGAGAGTGAGTGCATTTCATCATTAATTTAGTGATATTTATCGGCATAATATAAAATATTTTAGTTTTATTATGTTAATTAAAGATCAGATTCCAACTTTTTTGAAAAAATAAAGTTAAATTATAAGTTTTAATATTATTTTAAGACCGGTCAACTATTGGATCCGTCAGAAGCCCTTTTTTTTACCCAGTAAAAAATTCATTCGGTCATTTATTAGACCCTCTGATTTTATCACAATCCATCCAATTAAATTAATCACCGTATACTAACTTATTCTTAACTTCAAAATTAAATCTGTCAAATGTTTAAAGTACTTTAGTCATTAAATATTTTGTAAATATAAAAATAATCATTATAAAATGTATAGGTATTTATAATTAAAATAATACTTAAAATCTTTCTTGATTATTAAATTTTATTTTGTTCTAATTTTTTAGTGAACGGTTATATCAAAAGAACGAATTATTAGAAGAAAAAACTGCTAAGCAATTAAAAAAATAAAAAAAAGTTACAAGCTAGTAAAAAAGCTTTAAGTGAAAAAAAGAAGGAGAAGAATAAAAAAATTTCAAATTAATCAGAAGAATTATCGTCATTAAAATGAATTTGTGATTATTTGTAACCTAAATAAATGTGACTTTATGTTAATTATTGCTATAATTTATATTATTTTATAAAAAAGTACGATTTAAAATTATATTGTATGTTTAGTGTTGTTAAAGATGTCGTTAATACTTTAAAAGTACTGCATAAATTTAATTACATACAAGTAGTTTACAAAATTACTTATAATTATTTAAGCGGTCAATTAATTGGAGAACGG